GGCTTCATTCCTTAATTGGAAAGAGAAAAAAAGCGCAAAAAAGATCATGTTTTCTCTCAAGCTTTCACCTGAGTTAAAAAATAATAGCAGAAGCCATCGAATTTGAAGGTAACCAAGATCTACAATTACATTTATGAAAAGCCTAATGTTTCATTACGGTGAGGAGAACTGTGGAGTTAAAAAAAAAAAATTTTGGCCTTTCAATAAACTTTAGCCTTAAAAGACACACAATATATCTACACACTGTATTTCAGCTTTCCTATCAGATTCTGTGTGATTCACTTGGAGATTAGCAGCTGTTCCAAGGTCAGCTTATTTCCAATTATTCAAACGTAATGTCTGTATTGTCCAGTAATTAGAAATGGATAATTTTTCACATTTCAGACTACTGCAACTGAACTTTTTACAACTTAAATGTCAAAATCTAACTGGGTGACCACATATAATTAAAATAAACATATATGATTATGTATTTTATACTTGAAAATTAAAAAGAACAAAACAATGGTAATAGGATATTGTTGCGTTCATTTTCACTGCGTGCCCTGAAAAAGACATTTTAAAGAAAAAAAATGTAAGCTTATAGAAGAAAAAAAGGGACTGATGCAGATGCACTTGTTCAGGTTTGCCCCAGACAGTAAATACTACGGACATGAGTGCCCCCTGTGGGATTTTGGCTTATTTAATTTCATACACAGTAATTACAGGAGGTGCTTTGGTACCATTGCTGCAATCACATGATGGCCTGATATACCAAGTGGCCCATAGACCTTATAGTCCAGTTCAGTATGATGAAGAGTTTGTGTTGGGCCTAGAAAGCCATACCTTGCAGATGCAAGGTTAACATATTACTGCTTTGTAGCGCTGACAACAAATGCGAAGTGACTTCAAACTACAGAGACAACTGTTTATACATGAAGAACACACATGTACTTCTGCAAGTAGGCATCACTTCTCTGGAGAACTGTCGTTAAACCATAGGCATAAACAATGATTTATCTAATCACCAAAAAAAAAAAAAAATCTCTAATTTCCAAGAAGACAATTTCTGACGTGCTGACAAGTTATCATTGGATGGACATTGATACTTTTTTTTTTCCCCCTGCTTTTGTTCTGGATAAACTGAAATTACTCTTCTGGCAAATAAACTATGTGCCAATTAATCATCCCTAATCCAGCTATAAGATTCCAGGGCTTCCAGGGGTGTTACTGAGCCAATACCTCCAGACAACACTGCTTTATTGCTGAGAGGATGAACTTTTCAGAAGATAAACAACCTTAGCTTCCATTGACTTCATTTTCAGTTGTGAGCGTTCGTGTGCATGTGTTTGTATTTTTCTTATCTGAGAGCCAGAAAATGAACACTTGGACTTATCAACCATGTACCAAATATTTTTAAGTGACTTGCATATCATGCAGGAAAACTGTAGCAGATATAAGGATGAACAGTCTTCCTGCATAGCACTGCCTAGGTTGGCATCTTATTTTCAATAGTAGCCCTCATGTAGCTCTCAGCAGGCCTTCCAGCTCCGAGATGAAACAAGGAAGCAATACAATAAACAGCTTCATTAAGCTACACAGGCCTGGTTCATCTCTGATCACCGCTTACACTCTGTATCAAACAAAACACTATCTGTGGGATGTATTCATGCAATTAGAGACTGGTGTGATAAATATTGAAAAGACCACTCATGTAAAGTCATATAAGAAATCAAAAGACATTTTTTGACAGCTTGATTTTGAAACATAAATTATGTTCTATTATAACAACTCATTTGTCTGTAATATCCTTGATTATTTTTAAAGAAAAAAGAGGATAGTAAATTATTCTTGGACAAGTAATAATCTTTCTGTTATGTGCCAGCAGGATGAAGGATCCAACTCTGAAGTGCCAACTGCATTATGTAAGTCTGCATCCCTTGAATTATAGGGCTAGCAGCAATTGCAATTAGCAAGAGAAGGCATAATTCAGGAAAGGACTGTTGGACAGTTTTCCAGGTCTGAAAGAACAGATTGAGAAATGCTCCAACTGGGACTTTTCAACCCCGAAGCAGATGACTAGGAAGAATCTTCTGGTCGTTCTGACCATAACAAAAGGCCTGCCTAGTCCAGAGGAAAAAAAAAAAAAAAAATCTCTTCTCTACATACAGACACAGTGTCTGTTCCCCTTCCCTGTAAGTGCAGTGTCCGCTGCTACAGTTTTGGCAATTGCATGAGCTCGGCCCCAGATTAGACTGTTTGTGCTCGGTTATTTTCACACACTGCCAAAATTTGCTGACAACACCAGGAGAAAAAAAGGGAAAGGAAAACTGGTGATTTTCAACAGTTTATAACTCAGCTCAGCCTAAGCAGGTTTTTATGGGACAAAGAACAGAGATTTCTCTGTAGACAGCACTTTATTCCTGCCTAATTTAAAAGATTTGCTGTGAATGATGGAAACATTAGAACTTCTTAAAGAAAACATAATAAAACAAAAATCCTACCAGTTCACTAGTATTTTTTTACAGTAGATCATGTTTGGTGATATAAATAGAGAGACCATTATCTACCTCTCTCATAATTATTTACAACAAAGTTTTTTTTTAAAGAAAATGAAAATATTAGACTTAAAGGAAGAGGGCTTCAAAATACATAGTATTTCTTTAAGGAGTGAAATTTCTTCCTTGGAATAATTCACACTTGTGCTATTCCAGTGCCACAGTATTCCCTAAGGAGTGTGAAATGATCTTCTCAGGGTTACAGAGTCAGTAGTAAACACAAGTTCTACTCTAAGAAACAGTATTTTAAGTATATATTTTCATTAACATAATCTCTAACAACTTCCTATTAAAACCCAGAGGTAACTTTCTGGAGTCCTCTTGTTGCTTTAACACTTTCTTTCAGTCCATACCTAGATCTCCTAAAGCAGCATTTCCTAAGCTATTTTTCTTGCATGCTCTCCTGCCCCATTAGCTGACTGCAGGACCCAGGCTGTTAAACTTACAACTCTATCAAATCTTAAATTTAATCAGTGCTGCTTTTGAGCACCTCAAACTTTTCCCAGTGAAGTATGCCCTAAAACTTGGGAAACAATATTGCTTTACTGTATCTTTGAACAGTATCTGTACAACAGTGATTGTTTTGCGTTAAGGATCCCCAAACCAGCTAACTGCTTCACAAAATTGACCACTCATTCAATTACTATTATTTTTGAGTTGAAATAGTAGGAGACATTTTAAGAACATTAGCAACTTTTTGCAAAACTAGAAAAAAGATGAGAAGAGTGCTTTTCGTAATAGGCATAGGCTGGGAGAGTAGGGCAACAAAGTATATACTGGAGTTTCTGTATATAAATATAAGATATTTAATTGACTGGGAGTCCTCAGTAGAGACTTGTTTGCAACAGAGACTCATGGTGAGGGTGAGCTTTTAAAGTTTGGAGCAGCTTTGGCAGCTCTACAGAACTTTAAGACAGACCAGCTATGACTAAAACATGCTCAGCTAGTTAACTATACAAACTAATGTTTTTTCCATCTTTCTCTCCATGTGCTGACAGCATCACCATTCTCTCCAGTGTTCTTCTTCCTTCTGAGGTACAATGGATCTACCAGTTTATGCAGTTCCTGATACTACATTTCAATACAACAACTTTCCAACAATAATTTACTCAGCTAAGAGAGGTCATCATTTAAAAGAAGGGTGTAGTTATATTAAAGGGTCTAGAGCTACACAATTCCAAATACATTTCAGGATATACTGTACACTACGTGTATATTTTAATGAGAAGGTTTGGCAGAGCAGTTTGGCAGAAGAAAGTACTGCCAAGTGATTGGATAGGGGATATATCTCCAGTTGCTTTGGATTCCCACATCACCTTAAGAGCTATTCTTCCCATCCCCCAATACACCAACTCTCAAGGCAGTCAAATTTATAGCTCAATAAAATTTTTTATTAAAAATAAAAAGTGCGGCTTAAGTACTGCAGTCTTCCAACGTCCTTATGCCAGGTCTAGATCAGACTGTTGTAGCTGAATATGAAGCTGGGGAGGCCTGGCCCACTTTATACAGCACTCCTAAGTTAGAGTTTCAAGATCTAAGCCACCTCTCTTTCCATTTTGTAACAGCTGTTTTTCTATCCTTTCATTTAAAAAAAAGAAAAGGAAAGAGGCTAGCGTAGAAAAGTTAAATAAATAAATAATGGCTCACAAAACCACAGTGGAGGAACCACTGCTGGTCCTGCCAATAAAAATGTTCCTTCTCTTCAGAGCTGGCTAAACAACTGAAAGTGTTTCTAATGAACTGCTGGCAGCACTATCCATCATTGCACTAAATGGATTCATGTCTCCCTAAACTAAGGATAATTATTTATCTATAATGCACGGTCAGAAATTAGGAAGTATTTAAGCCTTAGAAGTCTAATTCCTCACTTCTCCCCACCTCCTCAAAGCTTGGTTTCATTCAGGCCTCCTTATGTAAAGATGACAAGAGAAGTCTGACTGATAGAGAATTTCAAACTCCGTTCCAGTGCTAATGAATCATCCGCATGAGTTTGAAAAGTACTTTAGCAGACCAGACATCTGCAGTCTGATTTTAGCTTTACAACTACCTGATACTATGTTTATCTCTTCCCTCTTCCCTTTTTGTCCTTTTTGCTACACTGACTTGTGTCGTACCTTAAAGCAGATTATAGGCTACCCAAAGCAAGATGGCACATTCATAAGACACACAAAATAATTGAGTCCCAATAATTGTTTAGGATCTTTGAAGATGCTATTGTGCAAATAATAGTAGTCTACTGCAAATGATCAGAAGGAAGAAACATTTTTGAGCTCTAAAGAAAGTGTGCGAGTAATGTAGGTAAACCCTGGTCAGAAGTCACTTCTGAACGCTTGACTGATTACATAGATGGCTGCTATCTAGAGACATACTCATACAGCAGTTGTCTTTAGAACACCAGGGATCAGAGGAGAATTCAGAGATATCAATAAAACATGCCTACAAACGATGGAAAGAAACACTTACTTCATCTCTAGGACTTCCTCCAAATGTTTCCTTCTTTCAGCTCGTAGGTTGGTCAAATGGGTTTCCTTCTCAGCCAAAGACTGTTGTGTAGAGGACAATTTTGCTTTCATTGACTCCAGCTCCTGCTTAACCTTCTCCATGGCCATCATCAGCTCTTCTACCTAAAACATTTTGGGGATGACAGGAGGAGAGAAAAATAGTGTAATGTCATCAACTGGAATTTACTAAATGTCCTAACTAAATTGGAGCCCAAAGGTTACCAGTGCATGTACACTGCATAACAATTCTGTAGACCAGAAGCATCATCCTGTGTTGCGGACAGGATGCCTACGCTCGATTGAAACAACATTACAGTCTGTGAATTAACACAGTCTGGTCACTGGAACGTTACCATTACAATACCAAACTACAAATCTTCAACTCTCCAGTTTTCGATTTTAGAAGATGTACCACAAGGATAAAAGGATGGCCTATATTTATTAAAATTAGCCCACAAAAATGCTAGGTATTAAATGGAATACATTGATAATATACCAAAAGTATAAAAAACTTTCTCTGTAAATGATGCTGAAAGAAAAACTACATATCCACTTTAAGAACGAAGGTAATGTTTCCAAAACAGGGAGAGGACTGGGTTCTCATGAAGATGTAAGTAAGGCTACTTCCCTCAAAGTATGTGTTGAACAATGCTTACAGGCACATTTTGTGATTTAGCAACATAAAAGACATTCAAAGAGTTGCTGATGGCAGACAGGTACAGCAGAACAATACTCATATCTTTGGCAAATGGGAAAGGTTCAGCATTAACATGATTGTAAATTCTAGCATAGATATTACACAAATTAACATAGTCATATTTTATTTTGCATTTGGAGCAGGTTTTGTCTCAGCTAGAATTTATCACTAATTAACATGCAAAAACACAATAAATGCTCAAGTATAGCTACATGTAACATACAAAACCCTCTGGATATTCTTTTAATAATTTTATAATAATGCTTGATGACGTTACTTTCACTGACTTCTTCCGTATAGATTTTCTCTTTCCATCACAACCAAGAGTTCATAAACAATTTTATAATGTGCTTCAAATGGGAGAAACTCAGATGCCGCTGTTGCACATAATCAAACATTTGTATAACTTTAGTATGACAATACAGCACTGCATTGCATTTGTATCCCTGCATAACAATCAACTTGTGCTCCATCCCGGAAGTGAATTACTGAAATTATATTAAGCTCAATTTCTACTTACAAGTTTTTACAAAGAGAGTTGGGCACATTACTCGCTATACAGGTGCTGGAGGATGGAAGGTATGGAACATACCACCACCCCTTGCTTTAATAAATCCTGTACTCCTAAAGGCAGAGCTAATGACTCAGGACAAACACGGATAACAAGATTGGTTTTCATCCTCAATCAGTGACAGAGCAAGAAACATTGCAATTCAGAATTAGCAGATTTATAAAAATCTAGCATAGACATTGTACAGTGCTTACTGCAGAAAGCCTATCTACTTCCACTCAAATGCAGCTGACAGCAAGCATTCTTCTTATGCCCAGCAAATTAAGAAAAATTTAAATATGCAATTATCAAAAACTATTCAAAATGTACAGCCAATAATTCATCCAGTAATCAACAGACCAAAGGAGAATTTCAGTGACACATAGTCCAAACTGGCTAGCATGCGTATAATAACCAAACTTTTCCTGTCTTATTAGTGTTTAGTGTGCAAAACAAGATCAGAAACTCTGTCAATTTTTAAAACAAAGAGGAAATTCCATAAAAGGAAATAGAGAAATATATCAGAAAAGAATGCAAAGAAAAACTACAGAAACAATGAATAGCAAAACTACTACTAGGATGGAAACTGATGCCTACAAAGAGAAAAATAGCAACATGCTGGGGAAGTGAAGGTGTACTAGTGTATCAGCTTCTAGTGTATCAGCTTCTACATCCTTTGGGTGGATCAGAATTACCTACACAAACATTTTCCTTTAAACTGAGAAGAAAAGAGGCACACCAACTACAAAACCCTCCGCCTATAACAGAAAACAACCTAAAATAAACAAGCCCCCAGCCAACTGTAACAATCAAAACGGCTTGTGTCAATCTGTCAGTTGCCAAGATAAAACAATCTTTGAAGCAACATCTTTTCCATAATCAGGTTTGAAAGATTTCTGACATCCTTCATTCCATTCCCAGTCATCAAGATTTGCGATGCTAACACTGAACGGCTGGTTTGCTTGATGCAGATCCGTAGCAAAACAACTCCGTGCTGTTAAGAAGACACAACGAGGCTAGAGGCCGACATCTAGGCCAAGGCTCCTAGTGCTAGATGGCAAGATCTAACTCTGCAGGAGTACTCTGCAGTAGTGGTTACTGCAGGTACTTAATCTTTTTCTCATTGCTCCATTTGGTAATTCTTTTAATTCTAAGGTTATATTCTGTATTTTTGCAGGTTAACAGAAAATTGATCTAATCATGTATTAGGAATGGCTGGAATGCAAGTGGCTTTTAAACTGTGCCAACAACTTAGTTCACGGAACTGCCATTACCTTCCATTCTCTCCAGCAAGTAACATTTGCCATGCAATTTACTAAAGACAAAATTCATCAAGATAGTGATGACTGTATTCACAATAAAGACTTCATTGTTCAGATTCATCAAGTTATAGATATTCCATGGGAGCATTTCAATTAAACTTCTACAAAACAAAACATTTTATTTGGCAGCTTACGAATCTTAGTGCAGGCCTGTCTGTATATGTCCCAGTAAGCAGTCCTGTGAGAAGTGATACAGAAATATTCACTGGAAGCAAACTGCTTGCAAAGCACATCTAATTTAGCATATACAAAAAACTTCAAATCTACCCTTGATATTTTTTTTTTCCCTGAGAACAGCTAATTATATAATAAAGAAAAAAATATTTGCCAAGAACCAGAGTTCTTGGCACGCTGAGACATTTTCAGAGACATGCTGTTGACATTTTCAATTTAACTGTAGGTAAGCTTGCGCCCTGTCAGTTATAACTAGAAAGTTTCCACTTCAGAAGGTGTTAAGAGTGCACTCTTGCTCCTCTTTTCTCTCTGCTCAAATGATAGTATATAAAGCAGAGTGTATCTTTGACTATCTATGACTTACCCGTGATTCAATTTTCTGCAGACAGACCTGAAAGGTCTTCATGTATTCTGAGCAGCATGGATCTGCAGAGAACTTAAACGAAGACTATTTTTTTCATTGTTTTTAGACCCTAAGTGACCTGACCAGGTGACAGCTAATCTTTAAGGAAGAACATGAAGCTGAATGAACGTTCCCTTAGAGGAAAGAGTTCCTGAGAGACTGAACAAACTATGTGAAAGAGGGCAAACTATGTCAATTAGATCAGTATGGGATTCACAGTAACAGAAAAGGGAAACGTGAACATCGGACAAATTTTTTACATAGTATTACATCTCCTTAGAAAGCATGAAAGCATGGTGGAGAGAAAAGGCAGTACAACAGGAGAAGTTTGTCTACCACGTCAATGGCAGCCTGTAAAGAAATAGAAGAAATGATGTAATACAAAAGAACAAGCCCTTTTCAGGAGACTATGTACCATCTTAACCTCCCTCCTCCTCCAAACTCTAATTTCAGGTTCCTCTGATGAAACTGTCAATCAGCAAACAGGCTGCTGCATAGACATACAGTTACCACATTATCTCCAAGTACGTGGTGTTTCTGGCAAGCTTTTCTGGCCATTGGGTAATGGGAAGCCAGGGACTTCCAAAGAGCTTGGTCAAGTTCCCCAAAAGTCAGTAAAAAGACAGTAAAATTGAGAAAGGGACTGGATATGCAAAATATTAATGAGGCTGGGGATCCTACCAACCTCCATACTAGCTCCTGGAAAGATTACTGATGGTCAGGACAGGCAAGCTCCAATTCCCACCTGTTATGTGAGAACTAATGCACTACCGAAAATTTCTGAGACACAGTAGATATTTCAGGCCAGGATGAAGGCTACATCAACTGATGTGGTTGGTATTGGTTCCCTCTTAAAATCAGAGCCCAAAGACTCCGATACCTAAGGTCAATCCAGACAGACATGCTAACTAAGGCAGCCTCAGGATACCCAAACACTTCAGTGTGTTTAAACTGCAATGTAGTGGCAGCTACCTTTTTCTTCCCATTGTGAACTTCGTCCTCAGTGATGAAGGATCACCTGAAGGGAACTTTTCTACTGCACAGAAAGTTGAAAAAGGCCTCCATAGCCCTCTCAGGAAGACAGCTCTGGAGCTTAATTTTCTGCTTATACCTTGTCAGGGAAGCAGAGCAATTTTGGGCCATCATCCAAGCAACAAATGCATCATGAATGCCAGTAACATGATGTAATTCACTACAGTGGTACTGTGCAAATATAAAGAGGCAATGGACAAAGTCATCAATATCACAAAGAAAGGAGCAAATTCTATGCACTTGAAAAACATTTGCAGTGGCAGAGGATCTATTCTGAAATGGTGACGCATGCAATCCACTTTTATATGCTATGTGCATATAAAGAGAGAGGAAAAAGCTAAAGAACGCCCTCCGCAGACACTGCAAAGGAAAATTTTCCAGTCTTAAGGGATGGGACATGAATGCATCCATAGTTCAAATGTATATGACTGGCTTAAATAGTATTTATTAAGGATAGCAAATCACTGGTACATTACATAAAAAACATTTTATGTTAATGCTAGATAAGGCTCTTCCCTGCCTGTATATTAACAATTCTATCTTTGCAGAAGAGACTGTATTTCTCTCCGTTATTAGTTTTTTCATAGAACCAAGGAATGGTTTGGGTGGGAAGGGACCTTTAAAGGTCATCTAGTCCACCCCCCCTGCCATGGGCAGGGACATCTTTCACTAGATCAGGTTGTTCAAATCCCCGTCCAACCTGACCTTGAAGTCTTCCAATGATGGGGCATCCACAACTTCTCTGGGCAACCTGTCTTAGTGTCTCGCCACTCTCACCATAAAAAAATCTATTCCTTATGTGCAGTCTAAATCTAACCTCTTTCAGTTTAAAAACACTGCCCCTTGTCCTGTCACTGCAGGCCTTGGTAAAAAGTCTCCATCGTTCTTACAAGCCCCCTTTATACATTGAAAGGCTGCAATAAGTCTCCCCAGAGCCTTCTCTTC